TAAAAGGATCTCTATTCTTCTTTCTCTGCTGGCTTGGAGGTTTGCATCTTCTTTCTGTATACCACAATTACTGGACTACAGAAGAGGCCAATTCGCACATTTCATTAAAAGACAAAAGAAAAAAAAAAAAAAAAGGAAAATAAAAGTATGTTGTTAAAAAAAAAAAAAAAGTTTTACAGCAAAATAATTCCAATTTTTCACTATGCTGTGTGTATATGGAACAAACCATTATGAGGAGAAAACAAAATACAGAGATCAGCAGGCAGGTGGATGAAAATTTGAGATTTCATTATGGACACAGAGGCAGATATGAACCTCCAGTGTCCTAATGGGCAGCAGGTGAGAGATGAAAGTCAAGAAGAAAACAGTGTTGGTAAAATGCAGAGCATTATTTTAGCATTAAAAACAAAAAAATGATGTTATTGTACCCTGTTGGTATGCTAAAATTGTAATTATTTATAATTAACTGCTAAAAAAGTACTGTAAGCACACCAACTATTAACAATTTTTAAAAATCATGAAAAGTATAAGTTGGTTTTTTTTGTTTGTTTTGTTTTTCAGAATATTTGCTATACTGACAAAAGCAAGAACACTGGATAAAGGAAACTTTTCTAGATCTTACTTGTAGAGTATTCTGATAATCATCAGTTGCTCATTTCACAGACATGTATTTGTTTATTTTTAATCATTCAACCCCAGTAATCAAGCTGAAAATACTGCAGCTCTCATAAAATCATACATGTATGCTGTTGACCGAGTCCTACTGGTTTAGGCAATGACATTCAATATTTCCAGATTCATACAACACAATTGCTGTACTTTTAGATATTCTGAAAAAGTGACCACAATGTCTGTTCAAATCAAACTTAAATCAACAGAGCTGTGAGTCTGGTACATGTCAAAGCTACAGTATATCTCTTTCATGAAAGGAGCCTGAAGTACTTTTATACCTTTATAAATTGGCAGTCATAAAAACTTAATGCTTTCAGTTGGGAAGAACACATTCATCTATAAAAGATGTGCTTCATGAGTGTAAAGAAAATGTCTACTCCTTTGTTATTTATGTAACAAGAAGGAACAGTTTCAAAAAAGATTATTCACTAGGATTCATTTTAAACTGCGTGACCAAAAGTAAAATGAAATAACTCAAGCAAAGACTCATGCCATGTATCTCCAGAAAAGATCTTTGAGACAGTATCTTGTTGGAAGCATCTCACTTTACTGCACTGGTAAATCTCTTCAGGTACAGTTGCATCTCATGAAGCACTACTATGATCAATATATGTAATCTTGCTCAGTGTGTGCTGATACGCTGAAATTGTGCAAAATCACAAATAGAAAATAAAGTAAAACATATAAAATTAAAGAACTTGAGTCCTCAGAAGAAATGATAACTTCCTAAGCATTAAATAGGGAGGAATATTTTTGCAACAGACTTGCTTACTACAATGTTCTGACATACCTAAATTATTTGCCATTCAGGAAGCAGCTAGCTAAAGGTTAGTTTGAGAATCTTTCTATGTCATTAAATTATTGTTTCTTTAATGTTGAAATATCAAGGGAAATATGTAATTCCAGCTTTCTTGACAGAAGACCTGAGCATTTAAAGTATTTTCTTCACAATAATGATTTGCATGTATGCTAGATTTGCATGTATATTAGATTTTGCTTTGGAATTTTTCTCCCAGTGATGAGGAGCATACAGAGATTTATTTATTTATTTATTTATTTTCCTGAATTATAAAATTATTTGTCATTGTACTTTGCACCCATGCATCATGACCCAATTCACTGAGGAGCTACAAAACATAATGGCAACACTTCTAATGATTTCTGAGTCAAGTTCTCCGGATAATACTGTAGCAGAGTAGAGAATCTGGTATCTCGTCTACAATACTAAATGTGAACAAGTTGCAGGCAGACATTTAACTTCTATAAATCTGCATTATATAATCATGTCAGTGTAATATTGTTGGGCCCTAGAGCGCCAGGGTATTTTCATAACTCTTTCAATCAGCTTTGATACCAGCCTCTGAATTTATATAAGGACAGGTATTTTCTACATTATGTCACTAAGTATTCACTGAGGAAGGTAGGTCAGGTCTAATTCCCCAGTTCATCACATCCTAAATTCCAAGTTTTAACTAAGGCTGTCCTATATGCAATATCCCAAGAATTATAATGGTATTTCAAACTCAGTTAAAATTATGGCTGCAGAAATGAAATTTCACATTTAATTATCTAGTGTATAAAATAAAACAAGTTAGACTTTACCATCATTACTTTTTTTGTTTGTTTGTTTTGTTTTGTGCAGAAGAAACTACTTGATTTGTTCCAGTATACAACCTCTGCCTTAATTCTTTGGAAAGACGTATAGATGACCAAAAAAGAATATTCAACTAATCTGTTGTTATTTGACAGGCAAAATCTCCAGAAGTTGTCTGATATACTTGAATAGTAATGACTTGGTGACATTTTGTGCCCCCTACACCAAATTGCTTCTACTTTTTAATCTGTGCTAAGCAATAGATGGAGAATGGATAGAAGATAAGGAGGATTATTAGTTTATAAGCCCACTGGAGTGGAAAGGAGAGTGAATGTTTGAATGGTAGAAGAGAAACACTGGATTTGTTATTGAAGAACAAGAAAGAAGAATATTATGCATTTAGATTTACACAAAGGTCTAAGTTTTTGTGGGGCTTTTTTTTTTTTTTTCCTCCCCCATAGAGATGCTTGTCCTGCAAAGTATCTCACTCTCTTTGTCATTATATATTAAATTATGTGTGATATCTTACATTTGTTCATCCATTGGCCTCCTGCAATTAGCAGTTCAACAAGTTTGTCTGGACCAGACTTCAGAGTTGTTCATTATTCCCCATAATGTGACACAGTCTATACCACAGTTGGACTGTGATACTTAATGCCCAAATTTAGCAAGTTTATACTGAATCATAAATTTTATGACCTGTAGCTACTTCTGTGATCATGTAGGTGGAATTTTTTGCAAGAGCACTGCTGAATTTCATGCAGTCATTTCTACCTTGTGGATGTGACTTCACAATGATTTTCAATATCCTTCTAAAATACAAAAAGTTCAAGGAATAGAGAATCTAGCACATTCCTGATTTCACAATTCCAATATTCCCTTATCTTCTTTGGTTAAGATTTGGAATATTGTCCTTATCCTGAATTTAACAGATTGCTGTTTCCAGATCCTGTAGTAATAAGACTCTAAATCATACTTTTTTTTTTTTTTTTTTTTTTTTTTTGCAGAGAAGCAGGACCTGGACACATTAAAACAGCATTTTTGTTTTGTCATATTTTCTAACTACAACACTGCCCTCTATCAGTATAAAATTAGCTTACAGTGAAATTGAACATAATGATAGAAAAATATATAGAAGTTATTCAGTAAGCTTGAGTGAATTAAAAGAATACTTTGGTGAAAAAAAAAAACAAAATCAATTGAATTGATTACACAAGAGCAAGTGCAAAATGCAAAGTAATAGATATTGGGAAAGAAATCTAGAGGAATTATGCCTCTCACAGGTCTTTACATGCATTTTACAAACCCAAAACAAAGTTCTCATCATGTAGGAGTCAGTGAACACTATTTTACTTACAATGTCTTCAGTGGCATCATTACAATAAATTGTAGCAAATATGTTTTGGATAACATAAATTTCACTGTCCAGCATTTGGGAATTTGTATAACTGTCAGGCAAAACTGAATGATCAGAAGCAGACAGCATGGGCAGGTCCGGCCTGGCTAACCTGATTTTCTTCTATGACAAGTTAACCCACTTAGTAGATGATGGAAAGGCTGTGGATGTTGTTTACCTGGATTTTAGTAGTGTTTGACACCATCTCCCACAGTATTCTCCTGGAAAAAATGTTTTTTTTTTGTGGCTTCACTTGGTGAAGAACAGGCTGAATGGCCAGACTCAAATACTCATGGTGAATGCAACTCAATCCAGTTGAAAGCCAGTCACCAGTGGCATCCTGCAGGTTTCAGTCTTAGGGCCGATTTTATTTAGCATTTTTTTCAGTGATCTGATTGAGAGGCTTGAATGAACTGTTAGTTTGACTGTTTATCTGTTTGAGCATAAGAAGGCTTTGCAGAGGGTTCTGGATAGGTTAGATCAGTGGGTCACGTGCAGTCACATTGGCTAATGGGTGGTTTGGATTTAGCCTGAGATTTCCAGAATAATAATTATTTGGGACCATCTCTACCCCTTCTTTGCTAGATAAAGAATCCTTACATATCCAACATTATTTTCCTCTGACGGCACTCATTCTGTCATTGTCACTTGTCACTTTTCTAAAGGAAAATTTTCATAAAGAAAATTGATGATGCAGTTTTAAATAGTTTAAGTTCCTCACTGTAAGTCACTTCCTCCAGTCTTTGAAATTTTTTTTTTTCTTCCCTTGATTCTATGCCAGTCTACCTTCTGCTAGTGAAAAAAAATATTCTATTTTCATCTACATAATTGACAGGAATTCTGAAGGTGTCAGACATCTTTCCCTCTGCTGTGGAACACTAGAAGAAAATTCTATTCAACAGATATCTCTTTGGCTGATAATACTTGAGATCTACCATATAAACAGTCTATATGTTGTGTGATTTGCTTACATTCTACAAGCTAAGTAATGATCAGAATGTTACATGCCACAGATTAAAAAGCTTACAGAAATTTTAAGATGCTTACATCATTGGCAGATAATTCCGTGAAGCAAACAACTTTCTCAAAGAATGAAATTAGGTTTGTTTAATAAGACCTTGAGTCTGTTTGACAAGAACTTCATAAAGCCATGCTCATTGGCATTATTTTTTTTCCTATATGTTAACTTTTAATTTATCAAATTTCAAATCAGTGTTTCCATTTTCACCTTGAGTATGCAAGTTTAGGCATCACTATTATGGAAAACATTTACTATTATTCTTATTATTTCCAGAGAAATAATATTTTTACATTCTCTCACTCTCTCCTTCATTTTAGGAGTTACAGTGCTTGAAGGGCCTATTTATGCAGTGGGAGGCCATGATGGTTGGAGCTATTTGAATACAGTTGAGAGATGGGACCCTCAAAGTCAGCAGTGGACATTTGTGGCAAGTATGTCAATTGCCAGAAGCACTGTTGGAGTAGCAGCATTAAATGGCAAGTGAGTAGGGTATTCTTTTACAGTTCAAATGCATTTCTTAGAAGGATGAATAACTGTGACACACCGTAGTAAATAACTTTTGTCCTATTGTACTTGAGGTACCTTTTAAAGTAAGTACAGCCACATTGTACACACCCTAAAATCTTGAGGCTCTTACACTCATGTCAAACGTCATTTTTCTGTATGTATATACTTATATATATACTTATTCCTTTTGTTTAATATCCATATCAAATACATAAAAAAATAGACATGACATTTCAGTGTGTATGTTCAGCATAAACTACTGCATGAAAAATTGTCAGTTGACTCATCTTCCTTGTATATGCCCGTTCTAGTTAACCGAGTTTATCAGTCTAAAATACGATGAGGTTTGTTGCACGCTCTTTCAACTTGCTTCAGCCAGACATTGACCCAGGAAACCTGGTCTGACTGAAGGCAACTACATTCATACAGGAAGTAAACAGAAATTTGATTCTGACATTAAACTGCATTAAACCTGCAATTCTAAGTGTGTTTAGATTCTAAGTTTCTCTTTTACAACTTTTTATTTTTTTTAAAGTGATCCTTAATAAAACTCATTTTACAGTAACACAATATTGTTCTGACACTTTTTATTAAGAAGCCACGTGCACTAAAGCTAGAAACCTGGGCGAAATTGCATCCCAGTAATACGATTATCTTATGCAAAATTCTGAGTATCTAATTTTCTAAAATGAAATTAGAGACATGGGGTTTGTAAAAGGTTCTCTTTGTTTGAGAGTAGAAGATGCTGTTTGCAATGCACCTATACTACTTATTACTTCTGCTTATCAATTGACAGTATTTGCTTTTAGCTACCTGGCAAAAAATAATACAATGTGAACTGTAAAATTTGGAGGTGAGAGAGGAATTCATCACACATAACTTGAGATACTTTTGGATAGACATCTACAACTGAGTCAGTTGTCCTCATAAGCTCACCTTATGATCAACTGAAGAAATAATTTTAAATTATCATACGTCTTACTTATTCTAGACACTTATGCTAGGACAGCATTAATTATGTCCTATAAGTGCCTTTTTTGCTTCTTCAGTTATAAAGGAAACCAGGGAACTCTGTCTCAGATTGTGACTTCTATTATGTCTTAAATGAAGAAAATTGATACTTCTATGGGCAATTGAAAATAAATGAAGAGGCACAAGTAGGACTTGGGGGTCCTGGTGGACAAGAAGCTGGACATGAGCCAGCAGCGTGCACTTGCAGCCCAGAAGGCCAACTGTGTCCTCGGCTGCATTAAAAAAGGAGTGGCCAGGAGGGAGAGGGAGGTGATTATCCCCCTCTATTCAGCTCTTCTGAGGCCCAACTAGAATACTGCGTCCATGCCTGGGGCCCTCAGCGCAAGAAAGAGACAGAGCTCTTGAAATGGGTCCAGAGGAGGGCCACTGAGATAATCAGAGGGCTGGAGCACCTCTCTTACGAGGAAAGGTTGAAGGAATTGGGCTTATTTAGCTTGGAGAAGAGAACGCTCAGGGGAGCCTTCCAGTATTTGAAGGGAGTGTATAAGCAGAAGGGGGAACGACTGTTTATACATGGATGGATAGTGATAGGACAGGGGAGAATGATTTTAAACTGAGGTGGAAGATTTGGATTAGATATTAGGAGGATGTTTTTTCACACAGAGGGTGGTGATGCACTGGAACAGGTTGTCCAGAGAGGTTGTGGATGCCCCATCCCTGGATGCATTCAAGGCCAGGCTGGATGTGGCTCTGGGCAGCCTGGCTTAGTAGTTGGCAACCCTGCTCATAGCAGGGTTGAGTCCTTCTGAAAACAGGCCATTTTATGGTTCTGTGATTCTATGATAAATATAGATCATCTTAAGCCAATAAAATAGTTTTAACATCAGAGTTGTTTGTTTTCCATTCTCCTATTTACATTAATGACGATATTTAAATGTATTCCCTCTTCGCATTTTTTTTTTTAATTGAAAGACATAAAAATATGAGGTTCTGTTCTTTATGAGATAATCTATAGTAAATTGACAGTAACAGATTTACTGTGTTGCTTGATTATACAGATAGAATTTAAAATGGCTTAAGCATGATAGAAATTCTACTTCAGCATTCACAGAAATAAAGCATACTAACATTTTTTTGAAGACTGAATATACTATTTACTATTTTGTCCTTTCACACACATGCAAATTTATGTTTCAGATTTTCAGATAAATTGGTGTTTTGTGGAAAGGCTTTGATGAAATCAAGTGTACTGTTTAAAAATATTTGTTATAATGTATATTCATTCAGCTATATTGAGTTCCACTGGTTTTACAATAATTGAATTCATTTGGTAATGTATTCTCAGAAATTGGATTTTTTTCATAGCAGTATTTTTCCAGCTCTATGCTTTTTAATTTTATATAAGAAACGGGGAGCAGGCAAATTCAGATATCGGTTTATGTGAGAGTAATATTTTGTTTTCATGTCCTATAATGAAACAAACCTAGAATAAGTCTTGTGTTATTTAAATTAAAATTGTGCTTGTTGCAAGTAGCAGTTGTTTTTGTTTAGTATGTCCCTTTTAACTGTTATGCATTACTGCAAATTAAATATGAGAAAGGTTAGCTTACTGAACCTTCATTTTCAAGAAAATAGCAAAATCCAAATCAAATCAGTATGTGCATATGAAAGGTTATCAAAATTGTTTTGTAGTCGCACATATGGGATATATTTATTGTGTAATGACCTCAGAGAGGCATAGGTTAATAATTCCACTAAGTCCTTAATAGCAGTTCAGTGTTTTGCACAAGAGAATTTGTAATATATTGCATTCATATAACCACCTACAAAATGTGATTGCATGGCTGATTATAGTCTCCTCCAGGAGTTCTGCTTCTTTGCCTTTCATGCATCATATAGTAAACTATCTGTGGCATTTTATCGTAGCAGAATCATTAAGGCTTGTTACTAATTCAGTGCCCTGCTCTGTTCTTTTGTACTTTTCTGCACACTAATTCTTATTTCCTATGTGAGGATCCCATACAGCTCAGTGAATGTCTATTTCAATTCAATAGGCATCATAGTCTTCTCAGTTTTTCAAGAAAGATTTAACTTGGCATTTTACATTCAGGCTGTTAAAAAGGAATCTCTGCAAAAGTCTGCTTCTTTTCATGTTCCTAGGTTAGTAAATCTGTGACTCTTAGAAGAGGACAATGAAATATAAAAATTCACAGTGAAAAGGAAGATTCAATTTGTCAGTTGTTTATGGGCTGGTTCAGCTTGGTTCTGTGACAACCAGGGTAGGGGGACCCACGGACCCACACCCTGGGAAAGGGGAAATAGTAGGGAGATAGGCCTAAAAACAAAACAGTGGCAACAATCTGAGGAGAAACAAACTAATTTACTAAATAAGACATTGGAATGCAAGATAACACAATATAATACAATATAATTGGAGTTGAAGATAATAAATAAAATGAGAGAGTGTCCAAAAACTAAAGGCCTTACTCTAAGCAAGCTGAGGCAATATGGCACTCGAAACAGAGACTAACTGGAAGATTGAAAAAAGGGGCATCTCGTGATCTATGAATGTTTTTTATCTTTCCTTCTGAGTGGAAAACAGTAACTAAACAGCAAACAGTCCTGTGGGAGATGTTCTTCTTCTCTTCTGGGAAAGGCACCCGGAACTGGAGCATTAACTCTTCAACTCTCAGTGCACTACATGATGTTATGAAGTGGAAAATACTGATGACCAACTCATAAAAGCATGACACATTTACAGTCAGTATGCATTGCCTTGATTGTTAGAAAACATGGTAGATGCTAAAGCCATTGCTAAATTACAGAGTGGGAACTTACTGAGGCTGATTTGTCTCAGTAAGCTATGACCAGGCTACCAGCTGTTTAGGATGTTTTCAAATTTTGCATGTTTGTTGTGCATCTACATCTTTTCAGTGCATATAAAGCACCGTGTACATTTGTTTGTCTTTTTAACCATATGAGCAAGATTTTTTTCGACCATGGATCATTAACCAGCATAAATTTAGCATTACAATTATTTGCTGCAAGGACTGCCATTCAGGTTTTGTAATAGCAAACACTTTGTCTTTTCTACTCATTTATTTTTCTCCTAATTTTACAGTGGATAAAAGATTCTGTGTAGACAATAAAACACAGTGTGTTATGTTTTAGTTTGTGTGTTAAGAATACTTCAGAGCAAGCAGACAGAATGAATAAAATTTGGCCATTAACCAAATGGCTAAGGTCGGAGGGGCCCATGGAAGTCATCTGATCCACTCCCACTGCTCAAGCAGAGATACGTAGGACAAGTTGCCCAGGCATTTTTTGAACATCTTCAAGATCATTTCACAGCCTGGTCAACCTATTCCAGTGTTCAGTCACTCACAAAGTCAAGTGTTTCTTGATGTTTAGACTGGCCCCTTCTGTGTTTTAATCTGTGCTCATTGGCTCTTGGCACTGGGCACTACTGATATGAACCTGTTCTCTTTGCACGCTCCCTTCATAGACATTGATAAGATTTCCCCTGAGCACTTTTACTTGTTGGACTGCTCAAGGTTCTTGTCAGCCCACCTCTCCAGCCTCAAACATGGCAGAAGAAGGCAATCTGCTCACACTGCCTAGTCAAAATTTTTGAATGTAATGTGAGTCCCATTGTAATTATATGGATGTTATATATGGATGTCATATTCATATGTGTACATATAAATGTATATACATACTTTCTTATTTCCACATATTTATACATCAAGTAGGATATGTAAACATTTAAATCTTAGTAAAATTTTTACAAAGCTAATATAATTTGATCAATATCTTCATGAACTTTGACAGCTATTACAGAAGCTATCAAGTATCTACTACTTTCAGCAACAAAATCTCATGTCATATCCACTGTTAACTATTTTTTTCTAATTTGAAACTAGATCAACTTCTCAATAACTTCTATTGAGATAAAATGAAATTTCTTTTGAATCAGTAGAGCAGCTTTAGCTGAGCATTTC